TCATTTCAAGAATATATATAAAAAAGAATATTTCAACTGAATACAGGAGTAAAAAAACAATTCAATTTTACACAATGGTGAAAGACTGGAATTGTCACTACTGCAAAGATGACATACAAATGGCAATAAGTACATGAGGAGATGCTCAACATCATTAGTCACTAGCAAAATCCAAAATAAAACCATGATGAGTATAACTTTACATTACTAGATAGCTATGGTAAGAAAGAGGAAAATTATTATTTCTATCTCTTACAAATAGTAAGTAATAATATCCCGACTTTTTTCTTTCCTTGTCCTTACCCCAGGACTGAAGTAATGAGGATGAGATAAAGTCTTGTAAATAATTTATTTTACACTTTGTAAGGAGTCCCTGTTCCCTTTGGAGATAATTTTCTTTAAAAGTAAGGAGAAGGACTGTGCCTTCACCTTTGGAATGTAAATAAATATTTGGTGGGGATGGGTGGGCAAAAAAACAGTGAATCCAGCTTTACAACTCTGGAGATGTCTCCAAGATTCTGATTTCATCCCTGACTTGAAATGTAAACACATGTTGCTAGAGGTAAACTCTTTGATGTTCCCAATATCTATTCAATCATCTATTAAGTTCTAAAGGTTGCAGTTTTAGTCTGGATCCAAAGTTTCTGTAAAATTTACTCAGAAAGTGCTAACTTCGAAAACATTAAAATATTTTCCCCACAAACCCACATATGTAATGCAATACAAAATGAAGAAGAAATTGAGTTAAGCCAAAATATTAGATTGTCAAATAATAACTCAGAGAAAATCAGAGAATTTATATAGTATTAACATTTATGAGAATTCCAAGAATAGAAGTAATCAAACAACACAGCAAAACAGGCAGAGATTCAGGACAATCAGAAGAGCTCTACAGGACCTTCTCTACCACATTGCCTATATTCTTGCTAATATTAGCCCATACATTCAATTAGAATTACAGCACCATTCTCCATTTCGCACTTCACATTCACAGTGCCGTGCATAGTGCCCAGAGATTATCATTATCAATAAATTCTAGATCTCATCTTGTTTGAGGATATAACTATATACCAGATATCACAGTATAGGTTTTAACAGTTATTGGTGTCTAGATGCCATTGTGCCAACAAGCTCCCTTCAAGACAATAAATGCTCTTCCTTTGGTCTTGTCCAATTTTGATCAGTGTTTCATGAGGACAAATTCTTTTTTTAACAATAATACCTGAACCATTCGTGAACAACTATTAAGGCCACACTGTCCAGTAATTTCCAACCATAATTTAGGCTAACTATAGTATTTCCGTAAGTGGGTATCCTTGTTTGGTTCCGGCCAGACTCTCAGCCATCATTATTTAATAATTTCCCCAGTGATTAGAATATTCAATAGTCTTCCCTGGGTAAGGATAACATCCCTCTTCTTGAACTGTTGACTGATATGATGTCCCATTTAAGTAAATATTCTATTAGTGTAGTCATTTAAAGCTTTCATGTCCCTCTAGGGTCATCTCCAAATGTGGCCAGTCTCTGGAAGAGAGCTCCCTCTAGTATTTCTGTTTGAATGAGTAAGTCTTTTTCATCATGATGAGCTTTCAAAAGAACATTGATTTGTTCTGATGTAGTACTCGAATCCCCAAGACTAGTACCAAAAATTTCTACAGAATATCAGACAGCAGGGAAGACATTGGTTAAGCCACTTCATGCGTTATTACCACAATATACTAGTAAAATTTATGCAATTTAGGAAAACAGTTTTTATACACATACCCCTAAAAAATATGTTCCAAAGATTGCCATTTGGTATATGGAATATAACTTTGCTTGGATATCATAGGTTTTTCCATAAACATATTTTGCACAACTCCATAGAGGAGTTATTAGTAATGTCTATTCATTAAGCCATATCCAAATCTATCCCTCAAGGGTGATCTTCTAATTTTCTTAAATGAAAACTGAATTCCATTCACATTTATATATCCTGTTTGAAGGAGATCACACAATGGTAGACAGCAGAAATTTACCTTTTATTCTAACTAGGTAGATGTCTTAGTGACATTGTTTTGATTATTCTCACAAAGAGTGTAAAAACTCTACTATTTGGTATTCCGCACTTAGATAATCCATTCACAGTAGTTATCAGAAAAATGATCAGAATAGTAAATATAGTCTATGAATCAAGAACTGAGTGGTTACTATGAGCGCTAAACTACCTACAGTGAACTAACCTAATACAGTCAAATTATTAAGCAGTACTGCCATTTTGTTATCCAGGTGGAATCTTTTTAGGTGGAGCTTCTACATCACCTATTTCCCTTCTCTAGAAAAAACAGACCCAAAGTGTTTTCTTAATATTAGTTAAGATCTGTAAGGGATACCTAAGAGTATCTCCAAGCTTGGAGGCTCTGGTATGGGGATCACATGATTATATCTCTCCTTAAAACTTTTTTTTTGAAGAATTTCTTTTTTACAATACCTTTATTTTGTTTATTTATTTTTGTTTGTGGTGCTGAGGATTGAACCCAGTGCCTCACACATGCTGGGCGAGCGCTCTACCACAGAGCCACAGCCACAGCCCTTCCATAGAACTTTAATTAAAGTGCCTTTCCACCCATCTTTTATAATTCCCCTCAACCCCATTTATTATCTATTTTGATACATACCCTTTTCTCTAAAATTAGGCTTTCTGGTTCAGTAGATGTATTATGAACCCATAGGGGTGATAAAAATAGCAGACTTGGTAACACTTTTTGGCAGAAATTACAGGGTTTGATAGGACACTTGTTTTTGTGTTTAGAGAGGTCTTAATTTGCCTAAATGGGATTAAGTTATGTATACCCCTAAGAACCTTTAGGAATATGTGCTGTAAATCCTTTTGCATGTTCATAAGGGTGATGATTGGGTTTGGGGGTTTTACACCATTGTGTTAGATTGCCTCCCTCAAACCTTGTTATAGTGTTGGTACACTGCCTGTTTGATGTGGGGTGGGGGGAGAAAAAAAGAAAATATATACTATCAAATTTAATGTTATTGATATTATATTTTGTGTTAAGATAATATTTTCCACTATTTGGTACATGCAACTTTGAACTCAGATATAGGTCCAGTAAATCAGACAAAACAAAAATTTTGCAAAATTGTGAGACATAAAATATGTTCTTTCATCCTTCCCTATATTCCCCATATTCCTACCTCCCAATCGCAGAAACCTTACCAGTAGAGTCCTGTTATTACTCTCTTTCATAGTTAATATTAACAGAAAATCATTTAACTGATTAAGCTCACCCTTAACTTGTATGATTTTTCTAGTGATCAATTTATTTACTTTGCTAACAAATATATCTTTCAAGAAGGTCTTCCAGTGACAATAAAGTAGACTTAAAGCTTTTTCTGTCATCTCTCTCTTTCTCTGTTTTAGCAACAAGACTACTACAAGCAGTCCAAAGATAAAAGTCTTCCTCTGTGATAAATATGATAATTTTTTGCTAAGTTTTTTTTTGCCACAAAGTCTGTAAGTGATGTGTTTATGAGGAAATAATATGAGTTCTTTCTTCTTGCTTTCCAACGTGTGTACTCTAATTACTAGAAAAAATGGATTGCAGACCTGTTTTCTTGTCTCTTTGTTTCAAATATTATTAGATTTTGTAAAAAATATCATATCATCTGTTCTTAAGAATCAAGATTTTCATTGTGGAAGAAAAATGAAGAACAGAAGGGATAAAGATTATTTATTTCATCATTCAATGATACAAATAAACCTCATAAACATAATATTGAGCCAAAGAAGCCAGACATAATAGAGAATACACAGTATAATTCATTAGTATGAAATTCAAAAACAGGGTTAGAGATATTGCTCAGTTGTAGAACATTTGCAAATAGTTCAATTCCCTGTACTACAAAACCAAATTTTTTTTTCTAAAATTAAAAAACAGGAAAAATCACGTATCAAATATTGAGAAACTTGTTAACTTTGGGAAGGCAAATACTAACCAGGAAAATGTTAGTAATGCTAATGTCTGCAGTCTTTACCTTTCTTTGATGCTGTTTGAAATGTGAATTTATTTATAAAGTCTTCCACAGCTTGAGACCTCTTTATTTCAGAGATCATCAAGGTAAACATTTACATGAGTAGGCTTTGGGAATCCTGAGGCTTCAGGGCATTTTCTATAATAAGTTAATAAAACAAATGCACTGGGATCAACCCTATAGTTTCTCAAAAATCAACATATTTATAAAAATTCAAAATAACAAATTAACATGTTCATATACAACATCCACATTTGAATCAGATTAGTACCTGCCTGCTATGTCTATGTTAAATAATCAAATAACATTCCCTCAAACATGATTTTCTCACCATCCCCAACAAAAACCCACTACCATGTTTATTTCTGATAACACAAAATACATCATTCTAATTTTAGTATTATTCAAAATATGTTAAAAATGTAAGAGGAATATCATGTGTTGTACCAAATACATATTTTTAGAATCTTTTGAAAACAAAAAATCTCAAGGATCCCTGTATTACCCGTTTCCTACAAATCTGAGTTCCAAATCCTATAACAATTTAAAAAAAAAAGAAACATAATACAATATCAGTTTTAGAATTCGTTATACATTCAAAAAAAGAAGCTCACTTTTCATCACTTTGGCAAATGTTCAAAATCCTATATTAAAACTTTCTATTCTTTACAACAAAAGGTGTTTTTTTTTTTAACTTGTGACTATAAATTTTATATTCTACTTTTTTTTTAGAGAGAGAGAGAGAATTTTAATATTTATTTTTTAGTTTTCGGCGGACACAACATCTTTGTTTGTATGTGGTGCTGAGGATCGAACCCGGGTCGCACACATGCCAGGCAAGCGTGCTACAGCTTGAGCCACATCCCCAGCCCAATTTTTATATTCTAAATCATTCTTAGTTTTTCATTGTAACTGCTTATTAGTGAACTAAGATTATCTATGTGTTAACAGTCCTCTTTTAGAGTCTAGTTACGTACCCAAAGCTGCTACTTTGATGATCACTGCTTGAATGTTAGATGCTATCATCTCTCGGAGCAAATCTTCCTGGTTCCTTTGCCAAAGGTAAGCTAAGAGTTGGAGATTAAGCCTTTTACACCTAAAAGTAAAAAGAAAAAAAAAAAAAAAGATGTGATCTCTTAATGTTCCATACTTAGATCTAGAGCAATTACTTTGATTTTGTACATAATACTTCTTTCAAGGATTTCATCATTGAAAATGCTTTAAAAAAATGTCTTGCCTAATGAAACTTATACACACACACACACACACATATGTAAATATTACACAAATATATTTAATTCCCCTGGGTTAAGCATAAACATATAAAATGAAATCTCCAAGCAGACTAGATATATTAATGTTAGTAAGGTTATAAGTTTAGAAATCTATGTGAAAAAGCCTACAAATGTCAATGGATGATTATCTCTTTTAAAAAAAAAAAAAACTTCCATGGGTACCAAAATTGTGAAGTGTATGCAATTGGGAAAATAAATTTATTCTTATAACCATATATTTAGTAAATTTACAATGCCTATGAACTACTTTTATCTGCTTAGAAATGCTTTTTAAGAATTTTAGTGAAAAGAAAATAACAAAAAGTAAAATTCATTGAGTGCATGATAAACTGTAGGCATTGTACTAGATATTTTATACTATTGATATAGTAGAAAAAATATGGATTTTGAAGTCAAAACATATCTGGGTTTGAAATCTCATCTGTATTCTAGCTGGATGGTTTTAGCAAGTTAAGTAAATTCTTAAGATCTTGTGTTCATTTCCCTAGTTCATAAATAAGGGCAAAAATATTTCCATTCAAATTTCTTGATAAGATTAAAAGATGGAAAGTGAAGTCATGCTTTATTCTTGTTCCATATTCCTCACATTCCATACCCAATTTTCACTATGCTTAATGTGATTATTCCTCATCATTGCCACTACTAATACCCTGGTCTGAGACACCATTATCTTTTTTTTTTGGTGGTGCAGGTGGGGGTGGAGGTTGTTACTAAGGATTGAACTCAGGGGCACTCAACCACTGAGCCACATCCCCAGCCCTTTTTTTGTTTTTGTTTTTGTATTTTATTTAGAGATAGGGTCTCACTGGGTTGCTTACTGCCTCAATGTTGCTGAGGTTGGCTTTGAACTCGTGATCTTCCTGCCTCAGCTTCCTGAGCCACTGCTGAGTTACCATTATCTCTTATGTCAATATCTTAATTCCTTTTCCTGCTTCCACCCCTTCTCTTTTAAAATTCATTTTCAATATCGCAGCCAGTGTGATTCTTTTAAAATACAGATGATGGGATTCCTTGCAATACCTGTATCACCATTTTATACTTGTCTTTGTAGAGACCTTTTACCTCTTTAAATTTATTCCTGCGTATTTTTTTTTTGTCAGCTATTTTAATTAAGATTGCATTCTTGATTTCTACTTCAGATAACTGGCTACTGATGTACAGCAATGATGCAGATTTTGTCTGGGCATAAATACCAAGGAAATAAGAGTATACTGAAGAGACATCTGCACTCTTGTGTTTACTGAAGCACTATTCACAATAAAGAAATGGAAATAACCTAAGCATTCATCACCTGTTTAATGAATGTGGAAAAAATACATATAAATAATGGAGTAATATTTAGCCATAAAAAGAATGTAATCCTATCATTTGTGACAACATGGATAGAGCACCATGTTAAGTGAAATAAGCTAGGACAGCAAGACAAGTACTATAGAATCTCATTTACAAGTGGAATCTAAAAAGCTGACCTCATAGAAATTGAGAGAAGGGAGGTTACCAGAGTTTCAGCTGAGAGGAAAGTAGGAGAGAAAGATGGGGAAAGGTTGATTAATAGGTACCATGTTACAGTTACACAGGAAAAAGAAGTTTCGGTTTGCTATCATATATCAAGGTAATTACAAATGACAATAATGTACTCTATATTTCAAAAGGCTAGAAGAAAGGATTTTGAAAGTTCTCATCATAAAGAAGTGACAAAGAAATGAAGAATTTCATCATGAATAAATGAGAAGATAGACATGTTTCATCTGATTTAAACATCATAGGATGCACACATGTCAAAACATTACATAGTTACCTCTTTAATATGTATAATTTTTATGTATCAGTTGAAAATTTAAAAATCCTTGCAATGAATCCACATGGATATTACCCTGGTTAGTTCCTGTTCCTTACTTAATTCATGACTTTGATTAAATGTCACTCTCTTAGGAAGGATTATAAGTGATTAATAATAACTTAAAGGTAATGTGGATAAAGAATGTAATAATGCGTAGATAAAACAGGCATTCATGAAATGGCAGTCAAGCCAAGTGACTTGTCCAAGTCACATAATAAGTAGCTGAGATCAATTTCCAACCAAGAATATCAGTCTAAAGCCTATTATCTCTAGGTGTCTGTAAGGTTTATTACTCTCAAACCAATCATCCCTAGAATATATATGGTTGTTTAGCTGACTATTCTGGCCTACACAGATATCTTCTCCCCACCACCTCAGAATCTCACAGTATCTACTCAATGTACCAAATGTTTTGTCATTTACTCACAAATGGTATTAAAAATATCACTATCTTTTCAAATACATACATCTAGAGTTTCAAAGAAATCAAAACCTTCTTCATTACAGAGACATTTATGTAATTTTTGTATTTGTAAAATGTCTCAAAGCACCTATACTGAGGTAGTTAATTTTAAAAAAAGTAATAAAATTTGAAATACCCAAGTGACACAAGCACTTTGGTTCTTGATTTCTTGTCACTGATGTTTAATGCCTACTAATCAACTAGACTCTCTACATTTTCTTATAAGATTTTGGTTTTATGGAATACCTTATTCCTTCCAGTCCTCATTGCGAAATTCTTGGTTGTTGCTCTGGAATTCACAGCATTTAAAAATTATTTTAGGGGCTGGGGATGTGGCTCAAGTGGTAGCGCACTCGCCTGGCATACATGCGGCCCGGGTTCGATCCTCAGCACCACATACAAACAAAGATGTTGTGTCCGCCGAAAACTAAAAAAAATTAATATTAAAAAATTCTCTCTCTCTCTCTTTTTCTCTTTAAAAAAATTATTTTAGACTTAAATCAATCTTATCCTATTTAAATTTTTTAACAGTTGAAAATATCATGACTCAAACAAACTTCCTGTGTAAATCACTGTTGCATTTGAGCTTGTGAAATCTATTAAACACTTAAAAATAAATAAATAAGTAAACTGATGCACTATTCCAATGTGGAAGGCTAGAGGGAGGCTACATTCTATGTCACTCTGTGACCTGGGATTCAACTAGTGGGAATACTGTTTCTCTGCTAATAATTAGAGGACCCCCAACAGCTGCTCCCATGCAAGAATCCCAGTCTCTTTCTCCATACAGGTCCCCCAGCCTCAGTTTTAGCACAGGACTCCCAGCCACTTGTCCACACAGAATTTCTAGGTGCCCAAGCAGGACCACTGGCATCACCACCTACGCAGGACTCCTGGCCAACCACCCATATGGGAATCCTGGCTGCTGCTCCTATGTAGGACACCAAGCCACTGCCCACATGCAAAATCTCCAGCCGCCACTCCCATGTGTACCCCCATCTACCAATGTGGGGCTCTCCCGGTTGCTTCCATTTTGGGATATTGCAACTACTTCCACCATCCCCTACATGTAGTAGCTTGCATCTGGAGACACCCTACAGGGTCTGGAGACAGCCAGCCACAACACTGCATGCCACAGAGCTGCATCTCTGAATATGCCACCCAACGCCACTGCCCCGCCACACCTGACCTGACACCTCATGACTGAAAGCAGCCACCTCCATCTTGGGACACCTTTGTCATTGTATTTAGTTGGGGCTATTCCCACTTTGGGACACTGGCTGTGGTTTAAAGGAAAATCAAGGTACCTAAAGTCCCCAACTCCCCCCTCTCCCCTGCAACCAGTAAGCCAGCATAGTGCTTGGGGCTACATAGCCAGTCCATAGATCGCAAAGCCTGGCAGGGAACAGCCTAATACAAAACAGCTCTCAGCAAAAGATATGTACCCCCAGAGTGCAGCCCTCAAAAACTCCAGAGAAAAAGGTTCCTGATTAGGAAGTAGAAAGGGAGGTGATGAGTGAATAGGAAGTACAAAGGGAGGTGATGAGTGAAACACAGTTTAGAGGCTAAATTAGAGAACAGGAATTGTGAGGTCTACAGGCGATATAAGTAGATAAAACCAGGGTCAACATCACACGAGTGGGGCTCAAAGGAGATCCTTGGGGTTCAGTCTCACATCAAGAACTGGCAAGTGCTATACCCCATCTCCAAGAGCCCCACCCCAAGACCAACTCTCCCATCCTAATAACCCTTCACCATCCTGAGGGTGGAAATACCAGCAAACAACAGACAACCCCTCCTACTGGAAGAGAATGGAAGCAGGAAAGATACTGATCTCCAACAAAAACAATCCTTATATCTTTATTTGAGAGGTTTTTTTCTCTTTTGTCTCTCTCTTCTCCTGCCCTCACATCCCCATCAACATTGTGAAACTAAGTACTTTTCATGAATTAGGCTACTAAGGACCAGGATGTCTGAATAGTATCTTACAGTTATGTTGTATATTCTTTTATCTTCTATTTTTAGACTTTTTATTTTTCTTAAATATTATGTTTATTTGTTTTCTGTACTCTCTCTATTGTCTTCCCACTTACATGTTTCTCCCAAATCACATACTCTTTTCTCCTGCAATTAACCAATTTCTTTAGATTCCTCTTTTCATGATTCCTAAGATCTAATAACTATATTCTCACCTCCAACCCCCTCAACATCCCATCTTACACCTCACCCCTGGTTCTTTGTCCACAATCAGAAAAGGTAGACCCTTTTGCAAACCTACTGTTTATATTGTAGATAATAACTGAGTTCTCCATTTATGTATATTGTGACAAAACCATAAACATCTTAATAGCAGCTATTTGGTTTAAGGTTGTATATTGTTTGTATTGGGATCTGTTAATATTGTTCTCCCTCTCAAAGGAGAGGTATTTGAACACTGCAGGGACAGTATAAGTATACAGGGTAAAAAACCATAACACCTCAGGTCTTCAGTCCTAGAA